GTGGGGATTTGCAGAGCTAATCGAATCCCTGAGGAAGTGGTGTGACCGTAACCCTATTGTCAGCGAAAACCTTAAACCTGAACCGCCGAAGCCTGACCTGCGAAGTCGTTATCCTCCGAACCGTGACCCGCGAAATCGCTTCCAAGCAAGGAAAAATCCTGCTTACCAGACCAAAGATGAGAGTGCGAAGGTGGGGCGTAACTGCATCTATTGTAATGGCAAGGATCACAGCTCCACCCAGTGCAAGAAAGTCCCTGGCTTGCACCAGCGCAGGCAGATCTTGAGTGACAAGAAACTATGCTTCAACTGTACAGGAACAAGACATCAAGCACGGGAGTGCCACAGCAAGTACACTTGTCAACATTGCGGTGGCAGACATCACACGTCTATTTGTGACAGGCTGCCTAGCAACAGTCAAATGATGTTGGCAACTGGTGAGGGTTCTGTAATTTATCCGGTGGTAGTGGTGTTCGTTGATGGGATCAAATGCAGAGCATTACTAGACACAGGTGCGGGTAGTTCTTATGCGTCAGCGGCTCTGATTGAACGGCTTAACAAGCGACCAACTCATATCGAACATAGACAGATTGACATGATGCTTTGCTCAACAGTTCAAAAGGTACAAGGGTATTCAGTAACGGTTAAAAGTGTTGATGAGAAGTTTGAGATGATGACGAAGATCAATAAGGTGGACAAGGGTGTTCTACTTACAGTCCCAAATCCGAATTATGGAGAACTGATCAGCAAGTATCGTCACCTGCAGGGAGTGGTCATGGATGACGATGACAAGAAGAGTGAGTTACCCATTCATGTGATACTCGGCGCCAGCGAGTACTCAAGGATCAAAACTGAGACGAAACCTAGAATTGGTCAGCCGTCTGAGCCCATTGCTGAGTTCACTATGCTCTGGTGGACGATGATGTCCACAGGGAGAGAAGCCGCGCTATCCAACGTTTATTTGACGAAAACATCGGCAGCGGACTACGAACAACTCTGCTCTTTAGATGTTTTAGGACTCGCAGATAGACCAGAAGCAGACCAGCAAAACGTGTTTGCCGAATTCTCTGAGCAACTGAACCGAGGTGACGAAGGTTCGTACGAATCGGGTTTGCTATGGAAGCCGGGTCATGATCACTTGCAATCGAACGAACGCGGAAGTATCAGGAGACTACAAGGTCTAGTGAGGAAGTTGCAGAGAGAGCCTGGTCTGATAGACAAGTACGATGAGATCATCCAAGAGCAACTCACTGAAGGGATAGTTGAGAGAGTTGTAGACGAGCCAAACGAGAGAGTATTTTACATCCCTCACGAACCAGTGAAAAAGGAAACTGCTGTGACCACAAAACTCAGAATTGTATTTGACGCAGCGGCTAAGCCAAGTGAAGATAGTCCGTCGTTAAACGAGTGCTTAGAAACGGGGCCTCCCTTGCAGAATCTGTTGTGGAACGTTCTTGTGCGAAATCGCCTAAAGCCAGTAGCCTTAGCAGCTGACATCAAACAAGCCTTCTTACAAGTACGCATAAGACCTGAAGACCGGGATGCACTACGTTTCCACTGGCTCAAGAACAAGGACCCTTCAGTTATTGAAGCCTTGAGATTCACGCGAGCGCTCTTCGGGTTGGTCCAGTCGCCATTCTTGTTGGCGGGAACACTAAAGTTGCACTTGCAAAGCCTAAGAGAGAAATACCCAGTGGAGGTAGACGAGATCTTGAGGAGTCTATACGTTGATGACGTCATCACGGGGGGCAACACCAAAAAAGAGGTTCAGGACCTGAAGAAGACGATCATATCAGTGTTTGGGGATGCTAAGTTTACCATGCACAAGTGGAACTCCAACGAGCCTCAGCTAGAGAGTGAGAATGTTGTTCGGTGCACGAGCCTCAGCTAGACGGTGGGAATGGGGTGCCTGTTGATGAACAGCAGAGTTACGCAAAGCAACAGTTGGGAGTTAAGAAAGGTGAATCCAAGATATTAGGTTTGCCGTGGAACAAGAGAGAGGACACAATTGCAGTGACTTTCCTGAGGAACCTGTTGATAACACTAAGAGAGGAATGCTACGATTCTTAGCTGCGGTGTACGACCGCTTGGTGTAGCGTCGCCCACAACATTAGTGGGAAAGCTTCTATACCGCCAAGTATGCAACAGTCGACTACCGTGGGATGAGAAACTGTCAGACAGAATTGGACAAGAGTGGCTGAAGTTTGTGAGGAGCCTCCCAACAAGGTTGAAGTACTACGGAGCATACCAAGGTTCAAGGAGGCGATCGAAGGAGTCCAGTTGCATGTATTCGGTGACACAAGTGGAGTTGGTACATCAGCGGCCATCTATGCAGTGATTACGCAAGCCTCCGGGGTGAGCAAGGGCTTAATAGCAGCAAAGTCAAGATTAGCAAAGAAGAATCTTACAATTCCAAGATTGGAACTTGTGTCCGCTCACATGGCCGCTAACCTCGTGGAGAACGTGAGAGTCGCACTTGAAGGATATCCAATCAGGTCAGTCCATGGGTGGAGTGACAGTACTGTCGCACTCCACTGGATCAAGGGGGGAGGTACTTACAAACAGTTTGTGGCCAACAGAGTCCGCAAGATCAACGACAAAGATTACATTGAATGGAGACATGTCGACTCCAAACACAACCCAGCCGACATAGGAAGCAGAGGCTGCAAGGCAGATCAGCTGTGTAATGTGTGGTTGCCGGGACCACAATGGTTGTCCAAGCCAGAGGAGTGGCCGGGAGACGTAGTGACAGAGCCTAACAAAGAAACGGAAGCAGAAGCTAAGCTTACTAAGGAGGTGTTTGCAGTGGCAGTGGAGGCGAGGGACGACTTCGATGAAGTGCTGGAAAGGTATACCTTCTGGCGAACGATCAGAATCAGTGCATGGGTCATGAGATTCCTTCAAAATTGCCGGAGAAAGAAGTGGAACCGAGTAGGCGGACCCTTGACAACAGCTGAGACGGAGATACAGGTCAAGTGGTGGATAAGGCGGGAGCAGCAGAGACACAGTGTAACAGACAAGTTTCTGGAAGACCAAGAAAGGCTCAACCTTCAGAAGAATGACTAAGGAATCTACGTGTGCAGAGGAAGAATTCAAGGACATTATCCGGTGTATTTGCCACCCAGGGTAGTCTTATCAGAAAAGATGGTGCAAGACGCCCACATCTTGACGCTACACGGGGGAGTCGGCCTAACGATGGCGCATGTGAGACGAGTATTGGATTCCCCGTCTCCAGCAACTGGCGAAGAACGTGGTTAACCACTGCTATGGGTGTAAGAAGTTCCATGTGACAAAGCTCCAAAATCCACCGCCTGGAAACTTACCAGTGGATCGTACAGAGGGGACATTCCTGTTCCAAGTAGTAGGGGTGGACTACGCCGGGCCCATAACTTACAAGATTTCGAAGAAGAAAGAAGGCAAGGGATACATTTTACTGTTCGCATGCAGTCTAACGAGAGCGGTCCATTTAGAGTTACTAACTGACCAGACCACTGCTGGTTTCATCAGGTGTTTGAAACATTTCATTGCGAGACGGGGGAGGCCTACGAAGATTTATTCGGACAATGGAAGAAGTTTTGTGGCTGCATCCAGGTGGGTCAAGAGTGTTATGAGGGAGGAGAAATTGCAAGACTATCTGGCCCACCACAACATCCTTTGGCAGTTTAACCTCGCCAGAGCCCCATGGTGGGGCGGTCAATTTGAACGGTTGGTTGGAGTTGTGAAACAGTCATTTTACAAATCTATGGGACGAGCGTACCTGACATTCGGAGAGCTTGAAGAAGTTGTGCTTGAGGTGGAGGTGGCCGTCAATAACCGCCCGTTATCCTATGTTGAAGATGATGTTGAACTTCCGGTGCTAACGCCAAACGTCATGATGCACGGGCTACCTAACCTCCTGCCAGAGGAGGATGCAGAGTCAGTGGAGGATGTGGAGCTACGAAGAAGACAAGATACCTCCGTCGCTGCAAGGACATTCTGTGGTCAAGGTGGACTACAGAATACATCAGAAGTTTGAGGGAGAGACACAATCTCAAACACAAGACCAAGGTACTGACACTGAAAGTTGGAGATGTGGTGCTAATTCAGAGTGAGGAGCGCAACCGTGGAAAGTGGAACATTGGAGTTGTAGTGAAACTCATCAAGGGGCGTGACGGCGTCGTCCGAGCAGCGAGGTTGAGAGCGGGAAGTCCTACTTGAGCGAGCAATCCAACAGCTATGTCCAATGGAGCTGTCGTGCGGCGACGACGGGACACACAGTTGAGAAATTCGGTGCAGCTTAATCCTCGAGCCAGAGAGTTTGCCCCTAGGCGGGCTGCTGTAGCTGCGGCGAAGCGGATCAGAGAGATTGCAGAGCAAGAGAACAAGTGAACACACCCAGGGACGAGTGGGGTCATGATCTGTTAGAACTGTTAAATCTGTTAGAACTGTTAAGCCCATGGAGCTGTATGTTCGATTTGCTCCTTTTGCGAGAACTGATTCAGTGACTTGCGGAGTCACGAACTATTAGAACGCTTTAAAACTGTTGCTGTTATATAAGCATGGAGCTGTGTGATTATATTTGCTCCACTTGCGTGCATCAAATAGGGGGAGAGTGTCGGACCCGAAATGGGGTTCCTGTGGTGCGTGTGTGACGTAAGCCGAACCGGTCGGGACCGGTTTTGGCACTAGAACACGAGGAGAAAAAGAGCGAGCGATCTTGTGAGTACGAGCGAGTTTATCAAACGAGAAACGAATAAATTTTGTTGAAATCATCGCAACAATAACTTATAGATGCCGCCTAGTTCATGACATATATTTATGTTATATTTACAACATTGTTTTATTGAACTAGGCGGCATCTATAAGTTATGAACCCCAAATTATTCACGTTATGACCAGCGACAGAAATATATGTTATGAGCACGCGTTGTCAATCCAGCAGGACTGTTTCTGGCGCGCATGCCTGATGAACGACAATTTCCCGCCATTATTCCCGCCAAGTTTTCCCTGTTTACTGTGAGGACATGGCCGACAGCAGTGGCTCTTCGTCTTTTTCTCCAGTGACGCCAGGTCCGCAGTCATCCATCGCTGAATTAGTCTCTGGATTATTGGAAAACCCTCATTTTCAAGACGTGCTCGAAAAAACGACTAGAAGAACGCATCGAAGCCCTTCCCTACAAGCAAACCAACCGGCAACAGGGAGCACGACATCACGGCCTGTGTTTCAGACGCCTGTGGAAGAATTTCGGTCTCTTTTTAGGGCCGGAACCTCATCATCACAGGGCCAGAATACTTCAATGCCTAGATTTAGGCGTTTCTATCGACGACCAAGAGGACGAGCCTATGCGAGCCGGACACGATCTCACACCACAACGTCTGCAACATTGACAAATGCGAGTGCAAGAGTTGACAAGCAGACACCGTTCTGCAGGGAGGTTGTACTGCTTAACAGACCACATGATCAAACCGTACTTAGGGGAAGTCGCAAAGCAAGTTTACACTGGACTGGAAATGTCCTGAGTGCCTTCCAATTCAGCAGAGGCTGGTCGGCTGAAGAAGTTTACAGTAATCTTGAGGGCGCCTTTCCTCAAGTGGTCAACATTCAAGAGGAGCCCAAGTAAGTCATTGAATCATATACAGTATTTTACTTCTAACAACTAATCGAGTTTTCTTTTAGCTGGGTGTCAAAATCTTGATCATCATAGAATAATTTTGTCGACTGTCATCTTTAATAAATTATTGATGTATTATTTTTATATAAACTGAACTCTCATTTTTCATAATTAGGAGAAAAGTGCATTTCCGCATCTAGTGGAGTTTGAACATTGCACACAGTAGCTTCCGTAACATGGTAGTTGTAAATATTTCCAACTTTGGTTAAGGAGGTATATATGTTATTTGCAGGCTGGGAGGTCTGTATGGGGGTGCTTAAGGGGGGTACGAACACTGCAAAACCGCACAGAATAACATGGAAAACCGCAAACTGCATTAAAATTACCCAAAAATTTCTAAATACCACAAACCGCTTAAAATAAAAACTTCCACAAAACCACACCAAAAATTGAGCAAAACCGCATCACTGCAAACCCTTATGCCCCCCTTGTATAGCGAAAAACCTGTACCCGAAATCTTGAAAATGCTAAAAACGGCAGGCTGACAGCAGCTTTTTCAAGACCTCAGTCACAGTTTTTTGCTGTACCGACCAACCCATTAATTTTTTTAATTAATTTTTTCACCTCTCTCTCTCTCTCTCTGAAATCACTTTGTAATAATTGTTGACTTGCTTAGCGCTTGATAGCGAATGCAGTAAGCGCCTTTCAAAGTGAATGTTTCAAAGAGAAATATCTTTATTTGACTGTGTTTCCAAGCCACTTATCTAATAAAAATCTGTTTTGAAACTAACTTTTGTAGTTAAACGGATCAATGTAAAAAGATGGAAATTCAAGGTCAAGGACAAAAACTCTCAGAGTGTTCCCATGCCCTTGGAAAAGATAAAATCTGGACCGCGCAAAGAAGCAATGAGATTGCAACATTCGATATCGTGTCCTCTTAAAAAAATAAACAAGAATATTCTTTTTCAGTATTTTTATTTATTCAAGGAATACTTAATAATGCTCACAACAAGTATTATTGTTATTATTATTATTATTATTATTATTATTACAAATGGGTTGGTTATATTTGAATGCAAGATAAATTCAGATTTTGCATCATCAACTGCAATACCTGGAGATGGCTGATAATTTACATGTACTTGTCCTGTCTTTATGTTTAGGTTCACGGTGATGTTGGGAGTCGGTAGTGATCTGGTTGAACCACAGTTGGCAACTGGTCAGCACTTAAATGGTGAACTTCTAAGTAAAATATTTTGTCAAAAGACCATCTGGCTTGTACCAAAAGAAAAATTGAGTTTTGAT